ACCCGCCGGCTCCCTGCATCTGTGCCCGGCAGCTCCCCGTGTCTGTGCCCGCTGGCTCCCCGGGACTGTGCCCGCCGGCTACCCTGGGCCCGCACCCGCCGGCTCCCCACATCTGTGCCCGCCAGCTCCCCTGGGCCTGCGCCCGGCACCTCCCCTGGGCCTGAACCCGGCACCTCCCCTGCATCTGCGCCCGCCGGCTCCCCACGTCTGTGCCAGGCAGCTCCCCGTGTCTGTGCCCGCCAGCTCCCCAGGGCTGCACCCGCTGGCTCCCCTGGGACTGCGCCCGGCAGCTCCCCCCGTCTGCGCCCGGCACCTCCCCTGGGCCTGCGCCCGCCGGCTCCCCACGTCTGTGCCCGGCGGCTCCCCGGGGCTGCGCCTGCTGACCAGGGGCGCTGGAGCGATGTGTACGGGGCTGAGCCGGGGTTAGGATGGAAACGCGTCACGCCAGGGGTGCTGCACCCCCCAGTTCCAGCACCGGGGCTAGGGCTCCCCGGGCTGAGCCGGCGGCTGCCTGCAGGGAAACTGTCCCTGCCTGCGGCACCCCCCGCCCCACTGCGCCCCCCGGGCACCCCGGGCACAGGGACAGCCGCTGCCGGGCCGCACGGGGGGGCGGGGGTCCCTTGGCACGTGCCGGGACAGGCCCTTTCAGAAGCCCCGGCGCCGGGAACGGGCCGGAGGTCCCGTTTTCCCTTTGGCCCCCCTACGAGGCGCCGCCCCCGGGAGCCCCCGGCCGGCTCCTCCCCTGGCCGCGGCCCCGGATCCCAGCGGCGAATCCGCCCCGCACTTTCCCTCCGGCCGCTCGCCAACTTCGCCAACTTCGGGCCCGGGCAGAGCGGGGCCGAGCCGAGCCGAGCCGGGCCGGGCAGGTGAGCGGCACCGGTGGGCGCGTCCCCGGGGGAGGGGGGATCCGATCCGGCCCGGCCCCGCTCCGCTCACCGGCTTCTCCCGCAGGGTGCAGAGGAGCCTGCGGCGAAGGACGAGCGGGACCCGAGGCTGCCCCGATGAGGCTGTGGGGCTGGCTGCTGGCGGGTGAGTCCTGCGGGGGGGCACCGGGAGCCAAGGGGCCTTGAGTGATGCCCAGCCTGGCCCCGCCCCGCCCCAGATGTGCAGCCTGGCCCCGCCCCGCCCCAGATGCGCTGGCTCCTGGGGGGGGGGCAGGAAAGCTGTAGCTTGGCCAGAGGGTGGGGGGTTCCTGGAACATCTGGGGCAGGGCAGCTCCTCCCATGGCCCCTGCCCCTCAGTTGCCCTTCCCCCCATCCCCCCAGGTCCTGTGGGCCCCCGGTCCCGGCGGCCCCTGTGCAGATGACACATGCCCTCCCCCCTGTGCCCCCGCATGGGGCACCGCCCAGTCGGGGGCAGTGGGGGCTGCGGTGGGGCTACCAGCTGGGGGTCGCGCTGGCTCATTCCCCGCTGGCACCCCTGGGGCTCATGCTTCATCTTTGGCCCGTCCCCCCGGGGCCCGGCCCCATCCCCTGCAGGGAGCTGTGGGGCGGGGAGGAGCTGCAGGGCTTTGGGTGGGCCCTGGGCCCGTTCCCTGAGCCGGGACTCCTGGGTCCAGTCCCAGCTGTGCCCTCTGCCAGCTGAGCCTGGCATTGGCCACCACTCCCTTGTTACTCTGTGCCCAGTGCCAGCTGCCAGCCCCCCCTCGCCCCCAGTTTGGCCCCAGAGTTCGATAAAGCACCGGAGCCCTGCCGGGCTGGCTCTGTGCTGCCCCCTTGCCATGAGCTGGGGGGAGGGGTGCATGCTGTGCCCGTGCTGGGGGGCGGCGGGGGGGCCACACCCCAGGGCAGCCGGTTCTCATCTGTCTTTGGAGCTCAGTGGTAGGGGGTGGGGGGGGGGGGCTGGCCGGCGCTGGCTGGGTGCCCAGAACGCAGCCTGCCCTGGGGGTAGGGGGGCAGGGTGAGCAGCCCCCCAGCCGGAGGGCAGGGAGTGTGCTGGGGCACGGAGGGCCAAGCTCCCCTGCAGCCCTCCCCATGAGCAGTAGCGTCGTAGGTCGGGGAGGAGGGAGCCCGGACTCCTGGGTTCCTGGCCCGGCCACCTCCTGTCCTGGTCCCTCTTCCTGGCTGGGCAGCCGGCGCCCTGCTTGGGGCAGCGCGGTCGGGGCCCTGGGACCCCGGGACGCAGACTCAGGGCCTTGCTGTAGGCAGCAGCCCCCACCCCCAAAGACACCCCTCCCCTGGCTGCCTGCCCGGCTGGGCGAGGGCCCGGCTATTTCTAGCTGGCAGCTGTTTCCGCCCCGGCCAGTGGAAGGGGCTCAGCCTGTTCCATTCCTGGCCCTGCCTGAGGGGCAGGCGCAGGTGGCCAAGGGGGGGCTCAGAGCAGGCTGGAGCCAGACCCTCGGCACAGCCCCCACCCCCGTCTGTGTGACTGCCCGCCCCTGGCTCTGGCCCTGCTCTGCGCCAGGGAGCCCCAGTTCCTGGGTGATGGCAGAACAAAGGGAAGCAGCGCGGTCCCGGTGCCCATCAGTGCCTGTACCCCCGCAGTGCCAGGGCAGCCCCCCTCCGCCCCATGCATACTCCCCACCAGGGCAGCCCCTGTCCCCATGCTGGGGCACCGCCCTCCCCCCGTCCCCAAGCAAAGGCAGCTGGGACGCCCTGGGCTCCCCAGGAAGGCGAAGCAGCATGGACCCACTGTCCTCCATGGCTGGCAGGGAGTTGCCCCACTGCCCCGGGACAGGGCACGGACCCCCAGCTCCCTCGCCCAGGGTGGAGTGCAGACCCTGCACTTCCCTGCTGGGGCAACCCAGAGCTGCTCCCCTCTCAGCTCTGACCTCTCTCCACAGTGCTGGGGGGGGGCCTGTGCCAGCACCCCGAGCCCCCGCATGGCTGCTCCATGGGCAGCTGCCACCCAGTCACCGGGGACCTGCTTGTGGGCCGAGCGGAGCGGCTGAAAGCCTCCTCCACATGCGGGCTGCAGGGACCCCAGCCCTACTGCATCGTCAGCCACCTGCAGGTGGGGCGGGGGTGCTTTGGGGTGGGGGGCGCTGGGGGGCGCCCTGGGTGGGGGGCACTGCAGGGCAGGGGATGCTGGGGCAGGGGGCGCTGTAGGGCAGGGGCACTGGGGCAGGCAGTGGGGCGGGGGAGGCGGCAGGTGCCAGGCAGCGGGGGGCGCTGGGGCGGGGGGCCTGGGGCAGGCAGTGGGGCGGGAGAGGCGGCGGGTGCCAGGTGGCGGGGGGCGCTGGGGCGGGGGGCCTGGGGCAGGCAGTGGGGCGGGAGAGGCGGCGGGTGCCAGGCGGCAGGGGGCGCTGGAGCAGGCAGTGGGGCGGGGCAGGTGGCGGGGGGCACTGTGGGGCGGGAGGTGCTGGGGCAGGCAGTGGGGCAGGTGCCAGGCGGTGGGGGGCACGCTAAGCGGCTCTGTTGCAGGAGGAGAAGAAGTGCTTTGTGTGCGACTCGCGCCGGCCCTACTCCCCCCTGGCCAACCCCGTCAGCCACCGCATCGAGAACGCCGTCCCCTCCTTCCTCCCCCACCGCAGGAAGGCCTGGTGGCAGTCGGAGAACGGTGAGCCCCGCCCTGCCCCCAGCCCCCCCGGCTCACTCCCCCAGCCCCCCCGGCTCAGTCCCCCTGCCCCCAGCCCCCGTCCCCCCGCCCCCCCCCCCGGCTCAGCCGCCCAGCCCCATCCCCATCCCCCAGGTCCCCCTGCCTCACCCCCCCCTGCCCCCCAGCCCTGTCCCCCAGGCCACCCCACCCCGACTCAGCCCCGCCCCTGGCTCAGTGCCCCATCCCCTGCTTGGCTCAGCCCCTCTGCCCCTCAGCCCTGCCCCCAGGCCTTTCCCCGTCACCCGACGTGGCCCCCAGCTCCCTTGCAGAGAGCCCCATTGCCTAGACTGCCTGGCCCGTGTATGTGGGGCTGGGCTCTGCCCGCTCCCTCAGGAGCCCTGACCCGCTCTGCCCTCCTGGGCCAAGCCATCCCCATCCAGCCACTGGGGTAGGTGGCTGCCTCGGGGGGCTGGGCCATGGGGTCCCCCCACCGCAGAGACGGGCCAGGCTCTGACTCCGTAAGGCCCGTGTTCCCCTAGCCAGGAGAGGGGCTGGCTGCCAGCGTGGGGCCCATGGGGCCGGCTGCGGCGGCCGTGTGGGTCTGGGGGTCCCTGGGGCCCTGTCCTTCCCTTCCCTCCCACGCAGGGAAGCGCTGACTCACCGGCCGGACCCACGCTGGCCTGGCTCTTTGCCGCCGGGCCCCCTGCCAGGCGGAGGCGGCCAAGTCCTTGGCAGAGACCGGGATCCGAGGGGGCCTTGCCCCGGCCCCACAGCAGCACCAGTGCCCGGGACAGATGCCCCCGAGGACGCCCCAGGGCCCGACCCCACAGAGCTCACAGCCCCGTCTCCGCAGGCGTGGAGCATGTCACCATCCGCCTGGACCTGGAGGCCGAGTTCCACTTCACCCACCTCATCATGACCTTCAAGGTGGGTCCCTGCCTGGGGCGGGCCTGGGGCGTCCTGCGGGGCCAGGCCACCCTCCTGCAGGCATTGGGCCCCTCACCCAGACCCGTCCTCCCCGGGACATGGGGGACACGCCATCCTCCTGGGAGCCCCCCGCCCTGTCCCTTCGCCGCCCCCCGCCTGTCCCCACGCCCCACCCTGCCCGCGCCATGCTGGGGGCTCACTGCCCTCCCCCGACACCCTGGGGGCTCACCCCCCTCCCCCGAGACCCCGCCCACGCCATGCTGGGGGCTCACACCCTCCCCCGACACCCTGGGGGCTCACCCCCCCTCCCCTGACACCCCGCTCGTGCCATGCTGCGGGGCACCCAGCTCCCCCATGTCTCTCCCCCCAGACCTTCCGCCCGGCGGCCATGCTGGTCGAGCGCTCGGCGGATTTCGGCCGCACCTGGAAGGTTTATCGCTACTTCGCCTATGACTGCACCTCGGCATTCCCCAGCGCTGCCCCCGCGCCCCTGCGCAGGGTGGACGATGTCATCTGCGAGTCCCGCTACTCTGACATCGAGCCGTCCAGCGAGGGGGAGGTGAGTGGGGGGCCTTGGACGTGGCCCCGCCTGGCCGTGGCCCGTGTCCGGGGGTTGGGCGAATGCTGCGCTGACCGCAAGCCTTTGAGATCCTGCGCGGGGCGCGGACGTTTCCCCGAGAGCGATTGGGCAGAGGCACCGGGGGTCAGTCCTGCTGAGCTCTCGCATGGGAACGAGAAGAGGAGGGGCGGGAAATCAGTGAGCCCCCATCAGGGGTGGGAAATGGGGCTGGACTGTTCCCCCAGCTCTCCTCTGGGGTCCTCCAAGAGAGATGCGGGGGAAAACCTGGCTCCTGGTGTCAGCTTCATCCCCTCCATGTCCTGGGACCCCAGCTTCGCCGTAACGTCACTGGGCCTTCGCCGTCCCGATCCCGAGGGCCGACCCGATCCCAATCCCAGTCCCGAGGGCCGTCCTGACCAGACAAAGGAGGAAGCCAGAGGACGTCACCTCCACCGGCTCCAGCTCGATCCCAAACAGCAAGGGGAAAGGAAACCTGGCCCCACCCGCCCACCCTATGTGTTTTTCTTCACCCACCTTCTGTCTAACCAGAGGCTGCCTGGGCCGCCAGGCCTGGGCACGGGGAGAGGCCGGTGGAAGCCGGGCTCGGAGCGCCTGGCGCTGGGCCGTTTGAGGCTGCGGGTGGCTGCTCGGCCGGCTGGGCCTGTTTCCCCGCTGGCCCGGGAAGTCAGTAGCCGAGCCAGAAGCTGCATTTTCTCCTTGCTGGTCCGGTCTCCCCGTCCCCTCCTGGGCGCTTGTCGTTCGTCAGCCCCAGCCACGTCCCTTCTCCCCGGGGGGAGGCTGGCAGCAGCTAAGAGACGCTCCAACGTGGGAACTTTTCCTTCCAAAGCCTCCCAGCTAATGGGCGAGGGGCCATGCTGGGCTGGGCCTGCTCCCCCAGGGTGCGTCTGGTCCGGGGCCTGAGCCGAGCCAGGGGCTGGGCCAGCCCATTCCTGGTGTGCTGCTGGCCAACGCCAGGCAGCACCCTCGGGCCCCGTGGGGCCAGTGAAATGAGCACGACAGGCCTGCACCCCACCCCCGCCAGGGGCCCCTGGACTGTCCCGCAGCCGGCACTGGGACTGAGGGGCCTTTCTCCGTGTTTCAGGTCATCTACCGAGTCCTGGACCCAGCCATCCCCATCCGAGACCCCTACAGCCCGGCCATCCAGGGTGAGTCCAGCTCACGTCACGGGTCTGCCCCAGCGGGACGACGCAGGGAGATCCCGGCCCAGATCTCAGAGCAGCACAGGCATGGCCTGGGGGGGGGGGGGAAGGGGGGGTGGGGGGGGGCGGGGGGCATGGGAAGCATGGGCCTGGGGAGGGACGGAGGGGTTCCTGGGAGGTTCCCGGGGAGGTACAAGGGGTCCTGGGGTGGGGTGGGGGGATCCTGGGAGTGCGGGAGGTCCTGGGGAGGGACAGGAAAGTTCCTGGGGGGTCCTGGGGAATCAGGGTGGGGGTCTTCTGGGGCAGCGCGGCGGGTCCTGGGGAGGGGCAGGCGGATCCAGCCCCTGGGCCTGTGCTGCTCTGTTCTGTTCGGGGCTGGGTTATTCCGGCTGCTGCTGCTTTGCGCCCTGGTCTCCCGGGGTCCCTCCCCACACCCGGGCTCCCCTGGCCGCCCCCTAGGAGATGGGCTGGGTCCCCCCCACCCGGCATTGTGCTGGAGCGTTGCAGTGGGTGATGTCTGCCCCCAGATCTGCTGCGCGTCACCAACCTGCGGGTGAACCTGACCCGGCTGCACACGCTGGGCGACAACCTGCTGGACTCGCGGCGGGAGATCCAGGAGAAGTATTACTACGCCCTCTACGAGCTGGTGCTGCGCGGGAGCTGCTTCTGCTACGGCCACGCCTCCGAGTGCGCGCCCGCCCCCGGCGCCCAGGCCAACGTGGAGGGCATGGTAGGGGCTGCGCTGCCCATCCCTGCGACCTTCCCCCACGCTGGGAACACCCCGAGCCGAGCACCTTGCTGATGGGTGTGGGCTGGCTTGGCCCGTGGTGGCTGTGGGTCTCGGCGCCCTTCACAGCTGGCAGGGCGTGGCCCGGCGCGGTGTGGCTCCCTGTGTGCAGAGCGGAGTGTGAGAACTGAACGGGCCTGGAGGCCATGCTCCCCTGGGAGTGTGGCTGGGGCAGCAGGGACAGCGCTGCGTGCTCTGGGCCCGGGCCGGGCGGAGCTTGGGGCTAGCAGGGCCGTGGCACGGCTCTCACGCCCCGCCCCCTCGGCAGGTGCATGGCAGGTGTGCCTGCAAACACAACACGCAGGGCCTGAACTGCGAGAAGTGCGACAGCTTCTACAACGACCTACCCTGGCGCCCGGCCGAGGGGCGCAGCACCAACGCCTGCAGGAGTGAGTGCCCGATGGGGCGGGGGGGCGGGTGGCACAGTTGGGGGCTGGGCTGGGGGCTGGGTGGTGTGGTTGGGGGCTGGGCCGGGGGCTGGACAGTGTGGCTGGGGGCCGGGCGGCGTGGGGGGGGGCCGGGCGGGGGGGGGCGGGGCTGGGCATCAGGCGGCGTGGCTGGGGTCTGGACAGTGTGGTTGGGGGCCAGGCTGGGGGCCGGGCGGCGTGGCTGAGGTCTGGGTGGCGTGGCTGGGGGCTGCGCGGCATGGTTGGGGGCCGGGCCGGGCACCAGGCGGCGTGGCTGGGGGCCGGGCCAGGCACCAGGCGACATGGCTGGGAGATGGGCGGTGTGGCTGGGAGATGGGCGGCGTGGCTGGGGGCTGGGGCGGGCACCGGGCGGCGTGGCTGGGGGCCGGGTGGCGTGGTTGGGGTCTGGACAGCGTGGTTGGGGTCTGGACAGCGTGGTTGAGGGCCAGGCTGGGGGCCAGGCGGCTTGGCTGGGGGCCGAGCGGCGTGGCTGGGGCTGGGTTACCAGACGGCACCGGTGTCTCGTAGGGTGTAACTGTAACCAGCACTCGCGCCGGTGCCACTTCGACATGGCCGTGTACCTGGCCACGGGCAACACCAGCGGGGGCGTCTGTGACAACTGTCAGCACAACACCATGGGCCGCAGCTGCCAGCTCTGCAAACCCTTCTACTACCGGGACCCCAGCCGGGACCTGCGGGACCCCGGGGCCTGCCGAGGTGAGGGGCCCGGGGCCGTGGGTGGAGAACTGAGCCCTGTCTCGGGTAGGGGGGGCAGGGAGGCCTTTCCCGTGGGGGAGGGCACGGCCTGGGGTGCTGGGCCCCTGTCTGACTCTGTCCGTTTGGGGCTCCGCAGCCTGTGACTGTGACCCAGCCGGCGCCCTGGACGGCGGGATCTGCGATGCCCACGACGACCCAGCGCTGGGGCTCCTGGCCGGGCAGTGCCGCTGCAAGGAGCACACGCGGGGCCCACGCTGCGACCAGTGCCAGCCGGGGTTCTTCGGGCTCAGCGGGGACAACCCCCAGGGCTGCCAGCGTGGGTATCTCCGGCCACATGGCCAGCTGCCATTCCCACCTCTGCCAACAGGGGGCGCTTGGGGGAGCTGGGTGGGGTGAGGGCTCTGGGGGGAGCTCCCAGCAGGGG